AACCCCTCCTTTTTACAAAATATCTCAACTTAGCTTCCATCCATTATCTATACCACTTATGAGCCAATCCCAGGCAACATTGGGCGAGAGGTGGGGTCCACCCTGGACAGGTCACCAGTCTATCACAGGGCTGACATGTAGACAGAAAACCACACACACTCACACTCACTCCTACGGGCAATTTAGAGTCACCAGTCAACCTAAGCTGCATGTCTTTGGACTGCGGGAGGAAGCCTGAGCACCCGGAGAGAACCCACGCAGGAACAGGGAGAACACGCAGACTCCTCACAGAAAGGCCCCGGGTCGGCCGGGACTTGAAACAACTAAGCTTTACAATTAGAAAATAAGACTTACAGTACATTTAATTATAAATCATCTTATTTCATAAATCCAAATTACAAGCCTCTCTGCATTTCCTTTTAGCAATTGCAGAGTTAAGAAAATTGAAAGGATCCATTACCTTTGATTATCAAACTGGCTTAATAAATGGGTCATTTTTCAGTATCCTCTCAAATTAAAATTGCCCAGTGTGTATTTTCAAATGAGTGTCTGCTTCTGTGCCAAGAAATTATTTTCCCAAAGGAATGTTTCCAGCCACCAAGTAGATACAAATCATTGAAATGAGATGATGGAATATAGAATAGAAAGGCACTCAGTGCTAAATCATTAAAAACGTACTGCCTTTACCTCAGCCCCCAAGCGACGCCTCCCATACATTAGCTGGCAAACAGCCAAGCATAAAGTGCGAGTTGGCTCAGGTTGTTCTGTGGTAAAAGATAATTCTGTTAAAACTGGGGGCAATAGCCAAACAACACGGTCATGACACACTTCAATAAAACAGATTTAAAAGGTTTGTAACACAGTTTCAATGCTCTAAAATCCAGACAAACAATATAGTTAAGTGATGACATGGACACAGGAAGTCACTCACAAAGCTACTTTCATGTCACTACTGTGTTACCTTCAGATCACATCACACAAATGGTTCAATTACATTTAATAATAAAAAAAGGCTGTAAATCCATCAGCCTCCCCCACAAAATAGAAAGAAGAACCAACAAAAAAGGAAAGCAAAGGAAAAAAGGTAACAAGCCGTTTCAAATGAGCTGATTATCTTGAACGGTCCACTATGATAACCAAACAGAATACTTAGCTTCATATTAAATAGACAGATATCTGAGTGGTGTCAATCTAATTATCTAACTGTCAATAAGGAAGTGATTAAATGCTTCCTCACCTCTTCAGTTTATGTATCAACAAAAAACACTTATTAAAAAAAATCAGCAAAAAACAAAAAACAAAAACAAGATGTAAATATTACAGAACCAGAAGCTGATTTTGAGAACACGCAAGTGCCCAAAGAGATGTTAAGAACTTCTTTTAAAGAGTTGCTATTCTGAAATAAGCAAGTAACACAGAATAAATGGCTATAGCAGGAAGGAGACAAGATATAGAGGAAATTTAAATTCACTGTTGCAAGTACATTGGATATGTTTTAGCTTAGTGGCTTGTCACCACAGCCCAAAGGACTCACAACTGATTTGTGGGAAAAGTTTGAAATGTGTAAAAGAATGTGAATTTGAGCAGCTGAAAACTGTGCAGATGCTACAGAGTAGGGACAAAACAGAAAGGAGAGGAAAAAAACAACAACACAGTAACAGAAGGAACAGATTGTACAGCGAGCCCAGGCTGAGAGGTTGATGGTTTCCAAATTCTGACATTTTGCAGTAACTTAGCAGCTATATAAAACAATTTAACTGGTATGCGCAATGTTACTTGTCAAGCCATTCTCTTCGTGTAAATACATTTTAGAGACATTATGCCAAAAAAACTAAAGGCAGAGTGATGCAGAGGGAACACAACCTTTTACATGCCCTGGCAATAACAAGGCAGTAACAAGGATTTTAAAGACCTGCATCAGTAACCCTGAATATAGGGTACCAAATGACATCTTTACACTAAAGAAATAGTTTTGTTTTACTAAAGACCAAAGTACAAATGATCTTCACTGTAAATGTAGATTAGAGACCGTTCTCCTCGTCGTTGTCTTCAGCTTTATGAAACTGCACAGAGGCTGGATGTGCTTCCCAGATCGTAGCATGGGTTAAGAAATAATAACGGTGAGATCAGGGGGACATAACTAAAGGCCTATTTATATCCAGAGAGCAAATTTAACCTTGACCCCCTTTTTCAAAGCCAAGAGTCAAACATCATGATTTCACACTTCATCTTGAAACGCTGACTTAGATATGAAATATTCAAATGCTGCTGAGTCTATTGTGATAAGGAGAAATTCCTCATCATAAGTTTCACAGGCTGCCTCTTTGTGTGAGGGAGTTGCCAGCACCTGTTACACATGGGGGGGGCAAAAAACTGGACACTCGTTGTGTGTGCCAAGGAATTATGTAGTTTTTATAGTGTATCTTATGTTGCTCTGGCCAGATCAACCCAACATGATAAGGTGCATGAGAAGCCACAAATTCAGTCTGTGGGAATAAAAACTAATATCAGTGTATGTGCGTTCATGTGTATGTATGTGTGTCGGTGCAGGTGTGTAGAGGAAGCAGAGCAGGCAGGCAAAGCGGGTGTCTGTGAGGTCAGGGGCTGGAG